ACAACCACAAACACACACCCACGGGGGAAATACAGCCACACACACACATGGGTACTACAGCCACACACACACATGGGTACTACAGCCACACACACACATGGGTACTACAGTCACACACACGCATGCACATGGGTACTACAGCCACACACACGTGGGCACTACAGCCACACACACGCATGTGGGAACTACAGCCACACACACACACACACACAGGTACTACAGTCACACACACAAGTACTACAGCCACACACACGTGACACATGTACGTGTGTAGTATATGTGCTTGCATCCTTTTATTTAAACTCTGGTTATGCAGTGTGGTACGTGTACGTGTGTGTGTGTGGTGCATGTATGTGTGTGGTACATGTACTCTCTTCTGGCATATTAGATCTGTCAGTAGAATCTGAGCGGCGGTATGTTTTGAGTCCCTTACCATTTAGATAACAGGTCACCCCATGTTTCCAGGATTTTCTCTGCACATTCTTTGGACACATCCCCAGAACCGCTGAGAAGAGGCTCATCGTTATCTAGAGAAACAAAGAAAAAAGGACATATGTGTGATGCTGAAAATCCTGTCAGTATAATCTGAATTATAAATAGAAAATGTAATAACCAATCAATCAATCACTTACACCCGGAGACACAACCCATCCCATCAATACCACATACAGGGGCACATTTTCCTGGAGCATTTGGTTATGAAGCGCTCATTTTAGGGCTGCAGCAACTAATCGATTATGAGAATCGTTGTCAACGATTCTCATTAATCGATTAGTTGCCGCCGCCGCCGCCACTCTGCTTCTCCGTTCTCCTCCCCGCTGGTGCTGGCTGTAGCGGTCTGTGTCCCTTTCAATTCCCACCTATATCGGCAGAGGCAGCAGGGACGCAGACCGCTGCAGCCGGCACCAGCGGGGAGGAGAAACCGCTCTGCAATACCTCGCTGCTGCTACCGTTCCTCCATGAGGCCTTCCTTCCTCCGCTACCCCCGTGCTTCCGCTGCTGTCCCTCTACCTCTGCTGCTCCCCTGTGCCCCCTCTTCTGCCGGCGGTAGAAAGCCGGCGTCAAAGTTCCCTTCAGCGGCTGGGAGCAATATCCAGCCTGCTATTGGTTATTTTAAATTGCAGAAGCCAATAGCAGGCTGGTTATTGCCCCCGCACATTGCCGGTTGTCAATAACGTGTCAGCGCAATTGTTGTTTTCGCGCGCTGACGCATCTGACGTATATTTACGTTTATATGTGCGTAAATGTGGGGGTGGGGGACATAAAAATGTTGGGGTTTTTATTACTTTTTTTATATGTGACTTTTATTTTATTTTAACTTTTTTTATTTATATTTTTCTTTTTGCACTTATTGTTATTGCTATTACATAGGGGGATAACAATCCCCCTATATAATAGCAAAGGCACGCTGACAGGTCCTCTTTATGGAGACATTAGGGGTCTCTAAGACCCCTAATGTCACCTGGGGACCCCAAAAGAAGCTGATGAAGCAGAGATCTGCTTTATCAGCTTCTTTTCTCTGGCTATAGCAGCCAGATGACTGACAGGTGAATGCGGAAGTGATGTAATACACATCACTTCCTGCATTCACAGTACGGAGGGGATCAGCAAGGAGGAACATGCTGACCTCCCTCCCATCTTACCTCCTGACGCCCTCCCGAGCCGGCCACGGGCCGCAGATGGGCTACCGGATCCCGGCGATTTAAGGTGAGGGGTCAAGAGCGGCAGCACTCGCGCGCGCTGGGGGGGCGGCAGATCGAATCACCCCATACAACCGATCGGCGGCTATAGAGCCGCTGATCGGTTGTATGAGAAACAGCCGATAACGGTTATGCTGAAAGTACGGGTTTTTCCTGCCCGTGCGCGTGTAATTCTGTTTTGTTTTTTTACACTTAACTTTATTGCCATCACATAGGGGGCTAAGAAGCTCCCTATGTGATGGCCAATTTACACAGACAGGTCCTCTTTATGGAGACATCAGGGGTCTCTAAGACCCCTAATGTCACCTAGGGACCCCCAAAGAAGCTGATGAAGCAGAGATCTGCTTCATCAGCTTCTCTCCGGCTTCTGTACCGGAGAGTGACAGAGGAATGCGGAAGTGATGTAATACACATCACTTCCTGCATTCAGAGAGCAGGGAGGAGAGCGGAGGGAGATCGGGTATTGATCTCCCTTTGTTCTCCATGCACGGAGCCACATGGGGCCACACTGCCGCTCCCGGATCAGACGCCTGGGATCGCGAGGACAGTGAGGAGAGGAGGAGGGCAGGCGCACAGAGACATGCAGCATACAAGCGATCGGGCGTCTTTACAGACGCCGGACCGCTTGAATGTAAACGGCCATTTAAACTTCTGGCAGTGTCAGAGCTGACATGTGATTTGCCTGCGAAACCAACACAGGACCTCGCACGTCAACTAGTGGCTTTTGCCGTCTACGATGTGATTGTGCTGAAGCGATATAACAGGCGTGAGGATACTGGCCGGCTTCCAGATCCATCTGTGTGTACGGCTTTGTGAGATGATCGCTTCTGTCAGATACACGGAAATGCCGATTGGTTGGGAATCTGCGGTGACCAGCCACAATCCGCCATGCTGTGTCGGGTCTGCTCACATGTTGCAGGCCCCTTTCTGTGAGCTGCCCATACACAAACGGCCAGGCGCAGGACTACTCTGAGCAGTTGAAGAGATCATTATGTTTCTGTGATAACAATGACAAATCCCTTTCACGAAATCTGTAGCCGTGTTTGCCAAACAAAGGTGAATAGATCAATCTGCAAGCTGTTAGTGAAAATATATTTAATAAAGGGATGGACCGATACGAGTATCGGTGCCGAGTATTATATAGGGAAGACTAAGATTCACTTCCCTTACTCCAATGTATTCAACTTAGGGATTCACCGGTGCCGATAATGAGGATTTGGGCTCGTACTCGCCCAAATGCTCCGATACTTACCTCCGATACCGGAACTTCCGGTCAGAGGGAGATATCCCTCTGACCGCAAGTGCCGAGGGAGCATGGAGCCGGTTTCCTGATTGGCTAGGAAGCCGGCTTCACTTGTTGCTAGGCAGACTGGGTCCCTAACCAATCTGGAAGCCGGGCGGCACAAAATGACCCGGCTCCCTGACTGGTCAGGAAGCCACGCTGCCTAGGAACAAGTGAAGCTGGCTTCCTAGCCAATCAAGAGGCGGGTCATGACGTGCCGACCCCCGGCTCTCTAATTGGCTAGGAAGCCGGCTTCACCTGTTGCAAGGCAGCCGGGCTTTCTGACCATTCAGGAAGCCGGATGGCACCTCATTACTCGCCGCTGATTGCTCAGGAAGCCAGGCAGCCTGGGCATGTGAAGACGGTGTTCTTCCGCTAGAACACCGGCTTCACAAGCGAACAGGAAGCCGGGCGATGGGTCATGATCCGCTGCCTGACATCCTGATAATTTGGGCACACGGTATCAGCGAGTACCGAAAAAAGTATCAGTACTCGATACCAAAAAAAACGATATCGGTGCATTCCTAATTTAATACATAACATACCGATAAACCCCAGATGTCCATTACTCACCATTTAAGTGTACGTCAAGGCAAAAATACAGCTATGCCGAAAAATAACTAATGATATGCTAGAAGCCCGTTGCGCAATCAACTTCCTGTCTGAACTGATCGCAGTGCCTAACCCTAAGTATTACTAAGAAGAATTGTCAGCCCTGCCGACTGGACTAGGGAACCCCTCCTATCCCCCACCAATCTCTGAACCCTTTCCACTTGCATACAGCCATTTTTTTTTCTCAGCAGAGCAATGCCGCTACGTTGACTCCCAATGGCCTGCCCACACACTGTGTGTAAGGAAAGGGCTCTTGGAAGGTGTAGTTTTGTGGGTGGCACCTATGTCAATAAGAAATCTTCAGATAAAAAAATAAGAATTGCGCTCCCAGCAAGCTTGGTGATGGTGCCACCAATAAAAGTTGCTTCTGGCTACAAGAACAATGTAATTGGGAACAACATGAGTGATGGGACTTGCTGTACTAAGGAAGAGGGGGGACTGGAGGTCAATATGGATCACACCTGAACGCAGACATTTCATTTTGTTTTTTTTATAGTTACAAATTTGTCCCTTACCTTCCTCCTCATCATCCTCGGGGGGGGAAGGGATATTAGACCCCTGTGGTCCACACTGCGAGAGACGGATTGAAGGACTAGCGGTGGTTTTCCTCCTCTCTTTCTCCGATTCACTTTCTAAGCACATGACTTCATAGAACGTATCACAGCTGCTCTTCCTCTCCTTCTTCTCAATCTGTAACAAGTAAAGTACACGCAGACGTGAAAAAGATGGAGGTGCCTTCCTGATAGGTTCAGATGTAGGTTTAGGTGCGCTCTTTAGCCCGGGGGGGGAACAAATTATGGAATACAGGAACCAGATTTTCTTTTAGGAGCCAGCTTCATAGACAACACCTGGGTCTGGCGACCGACTTGCCACCCACTGCCCACAGTCAACTTCTGACAAAAGAGAGCCATTAGATTGGGCTCCCGATTATGATGTCATCACTGTGCGACCAGCCACAATAAACAACAATGGGAGCCCCTCTGGTCATGGCTCACTTAACCCCCTTGCTGACCGCGGTGTTAAACCCCCTTCCTGTCCCGGCCATTTTCCAGTATTCAGCGCTGCGGTACTTTGACGTTTATTCCGTCATACAACGATGCACTGAAATGAATTTTATACCCTTTTTTGGGGAAAGACAGAGCTTTCTTTTGGTGGTATTTAATCACCACTGGGGGTTTTATTTTTTACTATATAATGCAAAGAGAACCCGAAAATGTTGAAAACAAAAACAAAACTATTTCCCTACGTTATATATAAAAATAAAACTTTATCAGCACCCAATGTTTCGGTAAAATAAAGCATAAAGCAGACTATTGCCCGCTATATGCTGAGAGCACACAGCCGTCCTGCTGCCGGGTCGGATCCCGACAATACTGTCGAGATCCACCCCACTGACTGATTGACAGTTGTCTCTGCCTCTTTTAAAGCCAGAGCCAGCTGTGCCCGCCCCCTCCACGTTCGTCACTTCAGTCAGTGCTGGAGAAACGGGGATGGGGGGGCAACCCCTGCGGGGAGCGGTCACTGACAATCACTGCTCTCTGCAGGGAAAGGATCGGGAAGTCAGCAATGGGAAGTATGTGTTCGCTGACTTCCCAATCAACAGAGGCGACCTGTGACAGCTTCAGCGTGCATTATGGGGATGGGTGTTTTTCACTCCATAATTCTCCTTGGAGCCAATCAGGAAGCCGGTCAGCGTGTAATGACTGGCTGTACGGCTTCCCGATACCGGAATTATCGGGCTAGGCATCGGAGCATTTGGGCGAGTACGAGGTGATGAGGGAGCAGCAGCCAATCTGAGAGGCGGACGCCTCGACATTACACGGCGCCCGGCTTCCTGGTTGGCCAGCGTCCTGACCAATCAGGAAACCGGGCAGCGAGTCATTACACGGTGTTACACCCCCTTCCTGTCCCGGCCATTTTTCAGTATTCAGCGCTGCGGTACTTTGACTGACATTTATTCCGTCACAACGCTGTACTGAAATGAATTTTATACCCTTTTTTGGGGACAGATAGAGCTTTCTTTTGGTGGTATTTAATCAACATTGAGGGGGGGGGGTTATTTTTTACTATATAATGAAACAAGAACCAGAAATGCCAAAGCGAGTCATTACATTACACGCTGCCCGACTTCCTGATTGTCCGGAAAGGCGGGCAGCGGTGACAAGGGAGCATGGAGTCGGCTTCCCGGCCAATCAGGAAATCAGGAAGCCGGGCAGAGTGTAATGACTCTCTGCCCGGCTTCCTGATACCGGAAGTATCGTGCTATTTGAGTGAGTACTCGCCCAAATACTCGGCATCGGTATTGGTGCATCCCAAGAAGAAACGTTGATGTCATGGCCTCCACCACTATGGTTTTCCCATAACTGGAGTAAGCCATTAAAGCGTTGACTTCATCGCAAAGTTCGGCTTTTAAATAGTTAATTACGATTAGCATGAAAATGAAAGGTCGTCCCCAACAGAATTCCTTCATTAAAAACCCTTCGAGGTGAACTCCCGTCTCCTGCGTTGGCCTACGCAGCGCTAGCACAGCCGGTGGGATAAAGAATAATGAAATGAAGGGGGGGGGGGGTTTGGAACCGAGGTAAAGACCTGATATAAATGATAAAAATGAAGTTCAAAACATACGCCATGAGGAGCGTTCTGCCGCAGGAGAACAACAACAAAACGGCGCAGAAATGTATTAGAATGAAGAACCATGTAATTCCGCGCTAATTAAACGGTCTTCAAATGCAAGCTGCTCCTAAGCTGATAAAAGGAAGACAATGAAGAATCCTAGAAGCCTCCCGGTGACACGGGAAAATGGAGCAGAACCATAGAAACCTCCCGGTGACACGGGAAAATGGAGCAGAATCATAGGAACCTCACGGTGACACGGGAAAATGGAGCAGAATCATAGAAACCTCCCGGTGACACGGGAAAATGGAGCAGAAGCCACTTTGCTGTGACCTTGGACTGCACATGAGAATGCGTTCCGTGCATGCTCAAACACTGGCCTGCTTTCGTTTTATTTCCTGCTGCAGAGTGACGCGCCAATTCTGCAAACAGAAAAGGCCATCGCCCACCAAACATTGACTTGAAAGTAGGGATGCACCGATACCGATACTAGTATTGGTGCCGACACCGAGTATTTGGCCAAGTACTCATACTCACCCAAATGCTCCGATACCTTTCCCGATACTGGAATTTCGCAGTGCCGCGAGGAAAGATGGAGCCGGGAATCTGGCTCAATGCTGTTTGGCCGGGAAGAGGGCTTCCCAGCCAATCAGTGTCGAGCCAGGCAAACAAATCTAATCCGGGAAGGCTTCTTGATTGTCCATTCTGTTTGGCCGGCTGGATGCTGATTGGCCGGGAAGCCGGCTTCCCAGCCAATCAGTGTCGAGCTGGGCAAACAGATCTGATAATATGGTGACACGAACCCCCGCCCTGCAGACACCTCATTCCCCTCACATGGATCCTTAGCATTCTGTAACGTACCAGCTGGGCAGACACCGCTCTCCTGTGTGCACGGCGCTCACGTGATCGGCGCTCAGCCTGCTACCGCACATGCACAGGATTTCTGAATGAGAGCGCTGGGCGGTCTGCGCATGCGCAGGCTGAAGGCCGATCACGTGAGCGCTGTACACACAGGAGACGTGGGCAGTTTCGGGAGAGCGGTGTCTGCCCAGCTGGTACGTTACAGAATGCTAAGGATCCATGTGAGGGGAATGAGGTGTCTGCAGGGCGGGGGTTCGTGTCACCATATTATCAGATCTGTTTGCCCAGCTCGATGCCGATTGGCTGGGAAGCCGGCTTCCCGGCCAATCAGCATCCAGCCGGCCAAACAGAATGTCGGCTTTCCCGGCTTCCTGATTGCCCGGGAAGACGGCTCTATGCTACCGGAAGTACCGGTACTCGGTATCGACGAGTGGCGAGATATAAGTATCGGTACTCGAGACCGGAAAACCGGTATCGGTGCATCCCTAATCAGGACCCAATCTACTGACTCACTATCGTCAGTCGCTATTGGTGGCAGCTCAAGTCACCAGATTAACACAGCGACGCACATACGGCAGCTGGGGATCAAGTCCCACCCACCGTGCCGCCACATATATGCGTTACGCCGGGGGAAGGCAACTTTGTCACTCCAGCTGTGCTTTAACTACAAATCCCATGATGCCTCTGCCTCTGGGAGTCATGCCTGTGGCCTGTGAGTCTCGCAGTGCCTCATGGGACTTGTAGTTCCACATCAGCAGGAGCGCCGAGGCTGCCCACCCCCTGCGTTACGCTGCACACCTCACAGCACAATTCCATGAAGCAGATTTTCCGTGTTACCTGTTTGAGTTTGAGGAAGAAGTTTTCCGTGGAGCTCCGTTTGCTGAAGGGCCAGTACAGGCGCTCGCCGGCAGCGCAGACCCGCACTTTAGTCTCTATGAGGAACCGCACCGGCTCCTGGACCTCGGTGATCACCAGATCCACTGCCGTGGTCACGAAGAGGACTTTGTCTGCGGAGGCAAATGGAAGAGGATGAGGAGACCGAAATCTGTGCAGCAGAGGAAATAGGGAAAGGATTCGAGGTTCGGATAGAAGGTTCATTTACAAACTGGCAGGTGGGAGGGGGGTGTACATAGCTTCCTAAAAACATCACCGCACCCTGCCTCAGTGCTTCTCTCAAGAATCCTCAGCCCTGATGCAAGCAGTGGGCCGGCTCTTGGGAGGAGGTATGCAAATATCAATGGCGTGCCGGGTGGATGCCAGTCTGGAGGAGTGGGAGTTCCTAGGCTGGCTGTATTTGCATGCAGGCCGCCCCCCACATAACACCCGCATGTGATGCTGAGCCTCGGTGATTCAAAGAACTGAAATCCAATTAAAGAAAGGGGCGGGGCCTGCCTAACATTACCAAAAATGTAGTTCTTAAAACCAAAGTCTTTAGCTTTAAATGCAGTTTAATACAGTAATGTGGCAGCACTGGGGGTCCCCGGTTCAAATCCTAGTCAGAACACCATCTGCATGGAGTGTGCATGTTCTTATTGTGCTTGTGTGGGTTTCCTCCCACACTCCAAAGACAGGTTAACTGGCTCCTGCCTAAATCGGACCTGTATGCATATAAGTTCCTCAGGGGTGGGGACTGAGGCGAGATAGGGGCCTTTGATTGTAAACTCCTCGGGGGTGGGGACTGAGCTGAGACAGGGGCCTTCAATTGTAAGCACCTCGGGGGTGGGGACTGAGCTGAGACAGGGGCCTTCAATTGTAAGCAGCTCGGGGGTGGGGACTGATGTGAATGTCCCCTCAAAGCGTGAGACTTATAAGCCACAGCTTCCCCTTTGCGATAAAGAAGCAATATGTATGTACGGTAAACTCCCAGTTATCCGGCACGCACGGAGATCGGTTGATGCCGGATAACTGTAGTTTCTGGTTGCTTGAGAGTTACTATTAACATTTGCGCCACCCA